GATTTGTATGTTACAAAATTTTGGTAAAATTTAACCATGGTTTTGAGAACTTTTACTAGTGACGTATTTTAATTTATACATAAAATTCCGTTATACCACTGAGATCATATGATAAATGATCGACATACAACGAGCAACAATAAGCAGTGCAAATAATAATAATAATAATAACCTCTATACAAAATGACATGGTTCTTGTATAACAAAAAAGACCTAATAAGGACAAAAAAAGAGATATTCATTGAAAATCAGTGCTATAAATAACGAAATATCATTGAAAGCAAAAAAGAATAGTAATACAAAATTATAGTTGCTCTGTAGTTGTATTAATAATTAATAAAAATTTTGACTAGTAATGCTTATCAATAAATAATATAATAAATGCATAGTAATGCTTACTATATTATCTAGTCAAAAGTTATGTATTAAAAAAAAATTCTGCGAATAAGTTAAATCCTCATAACTTTATAGTTGCTATTATTGTAAATTTTTAAATACCAATACATGTTGAATCATGTTAATATGATAAGTATACGCTGTATACAATGTTTATTATAGCTTATCATTTCAATCCTAGTGCATAAAAAGACCAGTAAGTAAAAAGTTATGTCATCTAATACTAGTGCATAAAATGTATATTATCTAATACCAGTACGTAAAATGTATGTCATCTAATGACAGTATATAATATGAGAACAAAGATTTTTATTATAGCTTATTGTTTCAATCCTAATGTGTAAAAAGACTAGTGAATAAAAAGTATGTCATCTAATACCAGTGCATAAAATGTATGTCATCTAATACCAGTGCGTAAAATATATATTATCTAATACTAGTGTATAAAATGTATGTTATCTAATGACAGTATGTAATATAGGGATGAAGATTTTTATTATAGTTTATTGTTTCAATCCTAGTGCGTAAAAAGACCAGTAAGTAAAAAGTTATATCATCTAAAAGTTCAACAGGCTGGCCCCCAAAGTTCGGGTAATGATCGATATCATATCATATTGTCATCGCAGAAACTGCAGTATATATTTTATTTTATTTCTGTTGAATGTAAAAATATAGTACGGTTAATATTCGAGAGTAATATAATGATTCTTGATTATCTTAAACATTGTGATAGATAATCCTACATGGGTAATGTGATAATCTCAAGGTTCTTGCGGTTGCGAGGTGATTATGTCAATCATTACCCAAACTTTTGGAGGCTATTCTGTCAAACTTGTTATCTAATACCAGTACATAAAATATATGTTATCTAATAACAGCACTCTATAATATCTATCTTTTATTAATAATACTATCCCTAACCCAAAGTTGATTATTTTAGGCAGATTATCTATAAGGGTTTTATAAATAATCTGGATAATTTGATTATTGAATTTGAAAAAAAAAATTAGATTATTTTATTCGTAGGATGATATATACATGAAGATAAAGTTGAATATGTATATGTGAAAATACTTGCTTTAAAATTTAATGTATTTATTTAATTTTTTATTTTTTTTTTTTAAGATCACTTTGATTCAAAGTATACCCATGTCTACCAATAGTGATGTTGAATTAACTCACAACAATCTTCTCTGATCAGCACCGATATTGATTTATTCTTTACCTGCAGTACCTGATTCTTATATTGAAAATGACAAAGGCAGGAAGAGTTTTGAATTATTTAAAAAATCTTATAATGGGGTTACAGGTCACAGAAATTTGGATTCAAATATGATTGTTTTGTATAGCAATGAACATGATAAATACAATATGCTAAAAGACAATATTCTGAAAACTGTTATCTCAGTTATAGGAAGATTGAAATTAGGTTTAAGTAAAATTTCACATATTGTAGTGTCTGATATAGAATAGAATTATGTGGGTAAATTTTCGAACATGTCTGTTAATAAAACTGCGTCTTCGCAAGACGATTTTAATGATCAATTAGATAGTATAGAAAAAAAATAAGTTAAGAAAAATTAGCTTCCAATAAATGTATTAGAACAAATCTGCTAGTTGCTTCTTTCTCAAAAGTACCAAAAAATAATAAGTTATCAAATGATCAATTTTTGGAAGCTGCTTCACAGATCAAATCTAATATTTCTGTCTCAAATAAAGTTTCTGATCTAACTGAACAGAATAATTGATCTTTTTTTCATATTAAAAAAAAATTTTTCTTCTTTTATTTTATTATTTTTTTCTTTTTTTTTTATTATTTCAAGTAATGATTAATTACTGCTGATTCTAATTAACATGATTTACGTTAAAAGTAGATTTGATAATATTAATGTTGTTGATTTAACTTAATCGATAAATATTTTTTATTTTACAATTGTTAAATCTCTTTTAATTAAAGTAAATTAGTCTGTATTTCTTCAATTATATATTTATTTTGAGAATAATAAACTCTTGTAAATTTAATTCGCTTAATAATTTATCCTTGTATTGTATCTGTTATACAAATTTTGTATTTTGATTAGATATTATTAAATCACAAGTTGGTTTAATTACTTTAAAAATCTTGTTATTGTATACTTTTGAAAAATTCTTACCCAGATCAAACATTCGCTTATTTTTAATTGTCTATTTGTTTTGATTTACTTCTTTACCACAATGCGCAAATAAATAGATCACTAATCATATCAATTATCTTTGTGAAATAATAGGTATTTATGCTATTATTCTTTAAATATGTTTTCTTTTTTAAAATGCTTTCATTATTTATGCTAACGGAACTATTATAAATAAGATAGCTTGTCTGTCTTTTTTTAATAAAAAAAAATTCAATCGAATCGAATAACTCTACATTTTATTTTCTTTCACAATATATATTTTTATTTATAATAACATCAGATATTTCGTATTACTATAACAAATCATTTTGAAAAAATCTCAGACTTCACTAACTCTTGTTTCATTTTTGAACCATACTTCTGTTGAAATGAAATCAATCAGGATTTGTCAAATATACCAATCCAAATCAATATTTCTGCTCATGATAATACGAATTCTTTATCTTTTTTAATTTCTAATTCATTTCCTTCTTGGGTTTTATCTTCTAATCTTAACCGGCTTTTGAATGAATTTCAAATTAAAATATTATTTAATCATCCAAATATCCTATGTTCATACTGTTCAATGCTTATGATAGAATCAGCAACTATATAGATCCCTTATGATGATAACGAAACTTACATGTTAACACAGATATTTTCTGTTTTTTTATATATACGAATAAACAGAAAAGATAAAAAACAAGTAGCTGTTTGTAACAGTTGTAAAAATCAAAAAATATGTTATCCTCTAATATTATTATTGATTCTTTCTAAAATAACTAATGTTTCTATGATTTACAGGAGATATCTATCACTTGTTTACGTAAACTGTTCGTTGGATCGTACATAGACTCGAATTATTACATTAACTACCACCATCTCCAAGGAACTATCAACATTTCACATAATTCTTGTTTTTTAAAATTATATTCTGGTTTAGTTGGTGCTTATTTGAATACCAATGAACCTCCTAATTGGTTTCATAATTCACTAATTCTCACCTCTGAATGGCTCAAACAAAATAACCTTCTTATTCAAAGATATATATTTAATATTGTTACTACTAACCCAGCTCGACAATCTATTATAAATTCAGATACTTCAAATCTTTACCGAAGTATTCTTCCTGATAAAATATTATGCTCACCTGACTTGGTTGTTTCTAATAATTCATTTCCTCAAAAATTTATAATGAAGACTCAAATTATAATCATCTGATAGCTAGTTTGATAATAAATAATAATGTTAACCTTTCTATCTTATTCAGCAATTCAGATCTTGAAGCTTTAATATTCCCAGACTTATTTCTTTTGGGCTGGGGTCATTATAAAGATATCAGAAAACTTCTAAAATTTCATTTATCATCTGATAGTTATAGAAACTACATAAAATTAAGAATGTTATGCTCTGATCCTCATTTTCAATTATACTAGTATTAGCCTTACTGGTCATATTTAAACCTTAAAAAAAAATATAACTTTCAAAATTAATATAGATTATCAACAAACCAGGCTGTTAACAATATTACTAATTTAGCATGGATAGACCTTATTACCAAAAGTTTTTATAGAAATTGAGATATTTTAAATAAATCTAAAACTACTACTTTATATTCCAACCTTAGAATAGCTGCTTCTTTTTTTAAAAAAAACAATTACAAGTTAATACTATGATAAATGTATATGAACTTCTTTATATATTTTTTACTTTAACTATGGCAGAAGATAAATAGTCACATTTAATTACAATATTATGTTCTATGGATAATAATAATTTTATTCTATCTAATCATCTGTTACATATATATATATATTATCATAATCATCTAAACAATCTTCGTAAGAAACTATAAAAAAACCCTAAATTAGTTTAATGGAGAAAGTGGCAACATTATTTTGAACATGATAAATTCCAAAATAGAGAAACAATATATGCGCACAGTTTTGCTTATATTGAAAAAAATATTCTTGAACTTATATCTTTAAACATGATTCATGTTGATATTCCTGATCCTTTTACCAAATATGCTCTATACGAACTAGTAATGATATTTCAAATACACCATTACAATCAAAGATGTAGACCAAACCCGAATAATTTACAATGTTCAAGAGGATTTCCTTAACCTTTATCTGATACTACTTATTATTCATCTAATCAACTATATTATATTTATTGTCACACTAAAGAAGAAGACAGATTTGTAGTTCTGTATCATCCAGAAATATTGTTCATCAGGCGTGCGCATATAAATTTTCAATATATTACCTTGATGAGATTCACTCAGTATATTACAAAATACATAACAAAAACTAAACTTTTTGAATTATTCGATATCGATAAAACTAATAATTATTGAAAATATGTGATAGCACAGAAATTAAATATAATAGAACTAATGGTATTATTATTACAATATCTCCTAACCAGATGCTTTGTATTGGTATATTATCTTCTATCTGCACCTTCAGAACTCTGTTCACATTCAATTAAACTGATGCATCTGCTTAATGACTTAAACAATGATGTTGACAATCAAGAAAATCATGAAAACACTTTATATTAAGATGACACTATTAACAAGTATTATGATAAACCCAATGATAAAGTTTTTCAAAATATTATCTATCCCAATTATTATAAAAACTATATAATAAAATCTAAACCTCCTGGTCCCCATTCAACTTTATTTTATTTTCAAGATCATAAAAACAGAATAGTAGTTCAACTTAAATCCTCTATTATACTATGATTAGTTTCATATAAAGTAGAAGATAGTGAAACTTTTTTTTTTCAACATCTTCTCATGAAAATTTCAACAAGATCAGATAATAAATTGTTAGGCGAATTTACCACTTATAGAAAATGATTTCAATCTATGTTTCCTATAAAATATAATCAAATGATAAATTATCTCTATAGAACCTATTTAGAACATGAAAATACCTTATCAAATTCATACAATCTAATGTTAAATTCGCTCTTATCTGATTTCCTTAATCAAAGTTTACTTGATCTAATCTTTATTCAATTATTCTCATTAGAAAAACATCATCCCCAACTTAATACCAAATCTTCTCTAACCCTTAATACTAAACAATATAGGGTTTATAGTATACTCTGTAACGTATAGAGTAAACCGCAAGATAAAAAATATCTATATTTTTTTTTGACAGATTCCACCAAAACCAGTAAAACCTTTATGATATTTCAAATAATCCACTTTCTTCGGTCAAAAAAAAAATATCTACTACTTGCCTTTATCAGAGTTGCTGCTCAAAATATTGGCAAAAAATCATCTATTTGGCTTTAAAAATTCGATACTATAATGATCATTATGAATCATTAATTCTTTTAGACCCTATCATTATATATAATCTAAAAAAAATAAAAGCTATTTTAATCGAAAAAATTTCAATGGTCGATAATGATCTATTAACATTTGTTAGTAATATTTTTGCCAAGATTCACGATAACAACATCATATTCAGAAGAATACCTACTTTACTAATAGGTGATCTGGCTCAACTACCTCTAGTCCAACTATATTATGTTTTTCAATCTCCTGCATGAAAAAAATTTTTTCCTTTATTTTTAACTATATCTCAACAACAACGTAACGATACTGATTTCTACAACATTCTGCAAGAAATCCGAATAGAATGTCTCTTTAACAAAAGCAAGCTTGCAATCCATTCAAAAATCATTTCTGAAATTAATTTCAACAAACTTTATAACACTACCCATGTAGTCGGTGTTCGTCAAGCTGCTGATAAAATTAATTCTTTACTTTGTGATTCTCTACTATTTGACAAAACTTGTAATGACCCGATTATTTCTGTATCTAAAGATACTCTAAATTTCGAAATATTAAACGAATTATATTCAATTTATCAATTCAAGTACTCAACAAACCTACCTAAATCCATACATCTACAAGAAGGTGCACAAGTAATGTTCTTGAATAATAAGCTATTTGATGAAAACATTTGCAATAGATCAGTTGGAGTCATAACAAAATTATCGATACTAATAATATAGAAGTAACTTTTTCAACTTTTACTAGTTTAAGTAAAATTATAGTTACAAAAAAAATTACTTATTTTGAAATAAACAGTATACTAGCTTCTTAACAACAATTTTTTCTCCAAAATGCTTTTGCACTCACTATACACAAAGTGCAAGGACTAACCCTGCTACATACCACAACAAGTATCAACAAAAATATATTTGCAGAAGGACAAGTATACATAGCAATGAGTAGAGCAACTTTATAGAAAAACCTTCATATTCTAAGTTTGACGAAAATTATATAAATCCCCTAGAGCCGCCTTAAATGAATACAAAAGATTACAGAACATATATAACAATGGCTTACAAAACTTTTTCTAACCATTTCTTTTTTTATTCACTTACAACATTCTCATTTTCAACATATCAATTCATAACCATACTTATAGGCTATAACATTAATTCATAAAAATCGAATTCATATTTATAAATACTTAAAACTGAAACTTTACTTATAAACTTTTCTATAACGTACACTAAATCAACCTTTCATCAATATAACTTACCCCTTACTACTCAAT